TTTACCCGCCAAACAGATCGTCGCGGCGTATCAAGCTGAACGACGCGGTCGGCGAGGGTTCGACGCGCTGCTCGATCCGCAGGCAAGCATCTGAAAATCTTGATCGCGCTCGGGCCTGACGGCGATCCGCCCGTCAGAGGCAGCGCCATAGAAGGATCAATCCATGTACAGCTACCAGCGGCGCCGCCGGGGCCGGACTGGCGTTCGTGGCGATCGCGCCGACGTCGGCCTCGGCCCGCGACATCACCTTCGCGGTCATCGGGCCCCCGGGAATATAATCTTCCGACCAATGGCTTCAAACCATTCGACGTCGCGGTCAATATATCGAGTATGACAGCAGCGGACGCAGCTTCGACGACCGTGGAAACGAGATCACGGGGCCGCATCAGACGCTGGTCGTCGGCCTGTCCAAATATGTTCATTTCTGGACGTTCAAGGGACTGCCCGACGTCGGTTTCCTTTGGAATATATCAGCCTGAGTTCGCCTTACCGGCCCCGGGTTGAAGGCAGGCGGCTTCGGCGATCCTCTGACCGGCGGTGTGGATCAAACCCTCGAAGAACACCACGCTGGGTTTCAGACTTTCGCGAGCATCCCGATCGGGGCGAGCGGGGTGATAACAATTACTGGGCGAACTTCAGCTCGATATTTTCTTCGACTGGCAGGGCAGGCGCCTTTACATTCACCGGCGATGCGGGCGTGATCCTGCGCGGCAATCGTCATGACGGTCGGCTGCCCGATGTGGACGAGGGCACAGCTTCCATGCCAATGGCCGCCTGAGCCTGAAGACGGGCACCCGGTTCGAGCCATTCGTCGCGGCCGACTGGCGGGGGCAACGCGCATAGCCGCATCGGTGGCACGGTAGTGCCGCTGTCGTCGGGCCATGACACCGCTCTGGGCACCGGCGTGCTGGTGGGGCTGGGGACAAGTTCTCGCTGACCGCACGCTATTCACGCAGCATCGAGGGGCGCAACGTGCCGATCACCAACGCCGCCTATGTGAAGCTCGCGCTCGTCTTCTGAGTGCCACGGCTATGGCGCGGCGCTCGGCATGCCGCTGGCGAGACCTGTTTTCAAATGAATGAACGATGAGAGGATCGGGAAATGGCCAAGGATCTGTCAGATGTCGCGCGGTGGTCAGCGCGGGCGCATCAGCGCCGCCATCGCCAAAAGGGCTGGAGGCCGGCGCGCGTCGTCATCGCCGACCTCAACGGCGGTAACGCGCAAAACGTCGCCGACGAGATCGGCGAGCGGGCCTGTGCGACTGCGGTCGACGTGCGCGACCGCGCATCGGTGGCGGCGGCGATCGGCGTCGCAGTGGAGGCATTGGCGGCCTCGATGCGATGTTCAAGCAATGCCGGCATCGCGCAGGTGCGCCTTCCTGTGATCACCGAGGAGGATTTCCGCACCGTCATCGACGTCAATGCACTGGGCGTGATGATCGGTATGCAGGAGGCGATCAAGGTGATGCTGGGCAGGGGCACCGGCGGGTCGATCGTCAACACCGCCTCGATCGCCGGCAAGCAGGGGGCTATGAGCCGCTCGGCCATTATTGTGCGTCGAATTGCGGTGGTCGCGCTTACCCAGACTGCCGCACGCGCCTTTGGCAAGGACGGCATTCGCGTCAACGCCATCTGCCCCAGGGTCGTCGGCACCCCGATGTGGAAGACGATCGACCGGGGCTTTCGCGACAACAAGCTGACGGCGCGCGCACCGACGAAGGCGTTCGAGACCTTGCCCGCGGAGCGGTGCTCGGCCCGCTCGTCGCAGCCGGAGGATATGGTCGGCGTCGCACGCTTCCTTGCCTCCGAGGAGAGCGCCTTCATGACCGGACAGAGCCTGATGACCGATGGCGGCATGGTCTTCGTCTGACCACCCTGCGCAACGACCATGGAGAGGATCGAGAGAGATGAACAGGGACACCAGTGGGCGCCACGTCCGCAGCGACCGCCGCAGGGCGCAGACCGAGCAATGGCTCGCCGCCTTCAACGCCGCGCTGGCGGACGGGACCCCGATGCCGCCGCCGCGCTGTTCGCGAATACGAGCTTCTGGCGAGACTTGGTAGCGTTCACGGAACCTGACGACCGTCGAGGATCCTGACGGCGTACGTGACATGCTGGCGGCGACACTGCCCACGCTTGGCAGCGTCATCTTCGAGATCGCGGAAGAGCCGACCGAAGCGGACGGCGTCACCGAGGCTGACCTTCGAAACCGCACAGGGGCGGGGCGAGGCGGTGCTGCGCACGGTGGACGGCAGGCTGGACGTTCCTCACCACGCTGACAGAACTCAAAGGGACATGAAGAAGCGAGCGGCTTTTCCCGCCCCATGGGCGCGAGCACGGCGTTCAGCGCGGGCGCAAGAGCTGGGCCGAGAAGCGCGCCGACGAGGCGGCGCTGGGCTATGCCGAGCAAGCCTATGTCCTCATCATCGGTGGCGGGCAGGGGCGGTATTGCTCTGGGTGCGCGACTGCGCCAGCTCGGCGTTCCGACCATCGTCGTCGACAAACGCATGACAGGCCGGGGACCAGTGGCGTCGGCGCTACAAGTCGCTCTGCCTGCACGATCCCGGTCTGGTACGACCATCTGCCCTATCTGGAATTTCCCAGAACTGGCCGGTCTTCGCCCCCAGGACAAGATCGGCGACTGGCTAGAAATGTATACCCGGATCATGGAGGTGAATTATTGGTCGCGGACCACCGCCGAAGGAGCGATGTTCGATGACACGACGAAGACTTGGACCGTGATCGTCGATCGCGACGGTCAGGAAGTGGTGCTGAAACCGAGGCATCTCGTGCTGGCGACTGGCATGTCGGGCAAGCCCAACATCGACCTTCAGGGCATGGAGCGTTTTAGGGCGAACAGCATCGCGGTTCGCAGCATCCCGGCCCCGACGCCTATGCGCGCAGAAGGTGGCGGTGATTAGGCGAACAATTCCGCCCACGACATCTGCGCCGCGCTGTGGGAGGCGGGTGCCGATGTGACCATGGTGCAGCGGTCACGCACATCCTGCGCTCGGACTCGCTGACCGATATCGTGATGGCGGACCTCTATTCGGAAAAGGCGGTCGCCAACGGCATCACCACGCGCAAGGCCGACATGATCTTCGCGTCCTTACCCTATAAGATCATGCATGAGTTCCATGTGCCGGTGTACGACCGGATCCAAAGGAGCGCGACAAGGACTACTACGCCGCGCTCGAGCAGTGGGCTTCATGCTCGATTTCGGTGCCGATGGATCCGGCCTGTTCATGAAATATCTGCGCCGTGGATCGGGCTGTATATCGACGTCGCGCGTGCGATCTGGTCATCGACGGCAGGATCAAGCTGAAGAGCGGCGTCGAGATCGATGAGATCACCGAGACGGCGGTTCGGTTCGTCGACAGGACCGAACTGCCAGCGGATCTGATCGTCTATGCCACCGGCTGTAAGCTCGATGAATGGCTGGGCGGCGGACCTGATCAGCCGGGACGTCGCGGACAAAGTCGGCAAAGTCTGGGGCTCGGCTCGGACACGCCCAGGACCCCGCCCTGGGAAGGCGAAGAGCGCAATATGTGAAGCCGACGCAACAGGAAAACCTCTGGTTTCATGGGAATCTCCACCAATCACGCCATTATTCTCTCTATCTCGCGCTGCAATTGAAGGCGCGGATGGAGGCTGGAAACCCCGTCTATGCGCTCCAGCGGGTGCATCATCTGAATTGAGGTGTTTCCTGCCCCGGGAGAGATCATTGTGGTGGAGCGGCGCTTTCGAGCCTGAGCGAGCTCGGCATGGAACCCATCGCCGCTCCGCTCACCACGACTAAGTGACAGGAAAACCGCTGGGGTCCGATAACTGGAACCAATGCGGTGTCGTGCAAGCCATTTGACGGGTTTGAAGCGGCCAACCATTGGTAGTGGTACCCTGTCGAGTTGGCGTTGTTACATAAAGCGAAGCGACCAATCATCGGAGCATCGCGTCCCCATCGCATCAGGACGCTCCATGCCCCGCCACATGCCATCACGCCCGAAAGCTGTCACGCCCGGTCGGCACCGCCCATTGTCCGCGCATCCCGGACCTGCGGAATGCGCCCAACGCATCATCCCCGGCGCCGTGACCGGTGTCCAGTGCGGCGGAGCGACGGACAAATCGGTCATCGTCGTCGACGAGGAGGGGACTATGGCGATCGCCGCGGCGGCGGTCCTGCGCAGCGCGATGGTATCGCCGCTGAAAACCCTCGAGGGCGGCCACGCGGCGTGGCAGGCAGCCGGTCTTCAATGCTGTCGCCCGCGCATCTGCGCCCCGCCATGTGCCGATGGCGGACACGGTGGGTGACGCGGTCGCGGCCTAAGGTCGACCGTATCGCCTGTCGCTGGCTGATCCCGCCGCTTCGTGGATCGGATGCGCTTCTCTTCGTCCCGCCGTCGGAGATGCTGGCCGTTGCCGAGCGCGAGCGACCCGAGCCGTTTGACATCGCCGATCGCTCCGTATTATTCTGGATTATGAGACGGTTGCAAGATTTGCATCATCTCGCAAATGAGCCAATAAACCGCTGAAATCCTGCCAGGTAATGCCGTGATCAAGTCCTTGAGGAAACTTGCAACAGCTCGCATTGACTTGCACCTAATTGCGGCAAAAGTGTAGAACCAACTGGTGCACTACGGAGGCTTCCGCGTGGGCAAACTTACAGAACTGAAGGTCAAGAACGCCAAGCCCGGCATCCGTGGAGATGGTGGCCTTACCTGCGTGAAGCCCAGTGGGGCTAAATCACAGGTGCTGCGCGTCCAGCACATGGGCAAGCGCGAGGATGTCGGGCTTGGGGGCTATCCAGTGGTCACACTAGCCAGAGCTCCGGGACAAGGCTCTCGAGCTGCGCCGGGTGGCGAAGGAAGGCCAAAAGCGCGAGGGCTGAAGCGCGATCGAAAGCGAGTGGTAGTCCCCGTCGTTCAAAGGAAGCCGTTGCAGATGCGCATAAGGCGCTTTTCGGATGGATGGACGCCAAAGACCACAGCGTCGTTCAAATCGTCCTTAGACATGCACATCGTGCCCAAGCTGGGCTCGAAAAGAGTCGACCACATTACGGCCTCCGGACGTGATTGCGGCGCTGTCGCCTGTGGACCGAAAAGCCTGAGCTTGCGCAGAAGCTGCGGGTTCGGGTGACGCAGGTCCCATCGCTCGCGAAGGCAAAGGGGGTGGCGATCTGAGCCAGCGCCAGATGCTAAGGAACTGCGTGATGGCCTCAGCGAGACGCCCTAGGGCGGAAATTTCGCGGCGGTGCCTTTCAGAGACGTTCCCGCCGTCATCGCGGTCGAGCTGGAGAAGGAAGATTCGTCTGGTCGCCTTGCGCTGCTCTTTACCGTGTTCACGGCCGCCAGAAGTGGAGGTGCGATCGGCTAGATACAGGACCATATTGACGGACGGAATGGACCCGTCCAGCTGACCTGATGAAAAGCGGCCTTCGCCACACGGTAACGCTGAACGATGCAGCGATTGCGGTTCTGCAGCTCGCTAAGCAGCGGTTCGGAGATAATGGCCTTATGTTCCCCGGTGCCAGACAGGGTGCGCAACTTTCTAACATGACCTTGTCGAAGGTGCTTCGCGCCGCTGGTCAGGTGGAAACGGTTCATGGATTTAGGTCGTCGTTCCGAGACTGGGCTGCGGAACGCATGCCCCGATCCCCGGCATGGTGGCGGAAATGGCGCTCGCCCATAGCGTAGTAACGCCACCCAGCAGGCATATCTGCGATCCGATCTTCCGCGGGACATGAGACGGGCTCTTATGGACGCACAGGGCCGGTTCGTTGCGCCGTCTCACGGCCTTTCGAGCAACATCATCGAACTCAAGGCAGCGAAATGATAAAGAAAGATCATGGCTGCGTAATTATATTGCGTAATTATGTTGCGCAGGGGCGCACTAAGCATAGAGTGTGTCTGCAATGGTCACGGAGGCAAGACATGCAAATCCCCCGGCTGCCGCTCCAGGCCGAGCGGCTATCGTACCACAGTGCCGGAGGCTGCGCGGGGCCCTTTGGGGTCAGGCGGGCGTTCGATCTACAATCGGATTTACGATGGCGCTCTGACGCGGGTTCGCGTCGGGCGGCGGGTGCTTATTCCCGCAGCCGCGCTTCGCGCCACTGGCAGGGGGCGGCATAGATAATGCCCCCATAAGCAAAACGCCCCCAGCCCAGGGCTGAGAGCGTCGCATGTCATCTTGGCGGAACAGCGGCGATCTTAGCACGGACCCGCCCGCGCAATTCCCGCGCCCATCCTCTCGCGACACTGGTTCCGCGACAGCGACCTATTGAGGTGCGCTCTCAATGAGCGCCTGCTCGACATCGACGCTATTCGTGCGTCCTACCCGATCCCTCAGGTCGCGAAGGACACGGTCAAGCTGTCGAAGGCAGGCAAAGAGTGGAAGGGCTGCTGCCCGTTTCACTCTGATCGCGCTCGCCTTCGTTTCACCATACTCTGGTGGGCGCAAATTCCCTGCTTCGGCTGTGGGGCGACCGGTGACGTCCTCGACTTCGTTCGCATGGCCTATCACGTCGATTTGCGCGGGCGGCTGAAATACTGGTCGGCAGCAGCAATTTTGCCCGCCGTCAATCCTATTCCCGGAGCCCGACCGGAGGATGATCACCCTGAAATCTCGCGATATGGCGCAATGCTGCTGATCGCAGGCACCCCAGCGGAGGCGTATCTTCGCAATCATAGGCTTTACCTTCCGCTCCTACCAGCCTCCGGTTCGCCCGGTTGCGGGTACGGCCGGAAAGGGTGGAGTATCCTGCCTTGTTGCCTGCGTCGGTTCCATATCGAACAAGGTAATCGGCATTCAACGGACTTATCTGGCAGAGGACGGGGGAGCGGCAAAGCGCGCGTCGAAGGCGAAACTGTCCTTGGCGGCGTCAGTGGCGGGAGCTTATCAGGCTCGCGCCTGCGGCGGCACGTCTGACCGTCACCGAGGGGCTGGAAGACGGTCTTACGCTTCAACAGGAGCGAGCTGCGCCGTCTGGGTTGCAGCCGGTTCGACGATGCTGCCCAAGATGCTGTTCCCGGCTGGCGTCAACGCTGTCGAGATTGGCGGGATGGCGATGCGCTGGTCGGATCGCTGCCGAGCGAGCTGGCGAGGCCTATGCATCACGCGGCATCGCCGCACGGCTGTTCTATCCCGATGATGGGTATAAGGACTTCAACGCTGAGCTGTGGGGGTGCGGGCGATCGCCGCACCTTCGTCATCGCAGGCGTTCGCTGAACGACCAACGGCGCCCCTGAGGCATTCGACGACGCTGGCACTGTCCGACGCGGCGCCAGCATTTTCGACCGGACCCGCTGCAATCCGGGCGACGCCATTCCGGTGGCGCGATCCGTCGACCATTCCGACCCGGCCTTGGGTTTTTATGGACGGTGGTTGTTGCGTGGCACTGTCACGGCTGTCGTTGCCCACGGCGGCGTAAAATCATCGTTCATGGCTGGTACGGCCTTGGCGCTGGTAACTGGTCGGCCTTTGCTAGGTAAGTCGGTGTGGGTGGGCCACAGCGCGCGTGGTACTGGAACCTTTGAAGACGATCCTGAGGAGCTTGAGCGGCAGATCCAGTCAGCGGCCATCTATCACCGTGTCACGGCACAGGACTGCGGCGACCGGCTTTTACATCGATAGCGGCAGGAGATCGGTCATGAGCTTTGCACCGCGATCAACGGACCCGATGGGTTCACGATCATGCGGCCGGTCATTGACGGCCTTCGTGCCGAGTTGCTTTGCTCGCAAGATCGACGTGTTGATTGTTGACCCGTTCGTTTCCAGCCATTCGGTCGAAGAGAACGACAACAACGCGATCGACACGATCGTGAAGGAATGGGCGCGGCTGGCAAAGCGCACGAATTGCGCAATCGTGCTGGTCCACCATAGCAAAGAAGCTTGGCAGCATGAAGGTAACGGGCCGAAGCTTCCAGGGCGCTTCTTCGCTAGTCAATGCAGCGCGGTCGACTTTGGTGTTGAACCGCATGGACGACCAGAGGCCGAGCGCTTCTTGATTGATGGCGACGACGAAAAGCGCCGCCTCTTCACCGTGCAGGATGACAAGCACAATCGCGCTCCGGCTGAGAAGGCCGTGGTATCGTGTAAAGCCTGTCGACCTTGCAGCTTCGGCGGCGAACAGCGATAGCGTCGGCGTCGTGTCGCTGGACGCCACCCGACGCATTCGAGGGCGTGACCATGGATCATCTGAGGAAGGTGCAGGCGATCGTCGCAGACGGGGAATTCCGCGAAAGCTCGCAGGCCGGTAATTGGGTGGGCAACGCTGTCGCCACCGCGCAGCATCAGTTCCCGAGAAACACGCCAAGGCTGACAGAGCGCGGATATCAACATTCTTAAAGAATGGCTCGCAAACGGCTCTTCGTGTTGAGCGCCGAATGGATGCGGCAAAGGGCAGGGAAGTGCCTTTCGTCGTCTGCGGGGTCATTGCTGATTGACCCCCACCTGCCGAGGTGGGGGAGGGTGGGGTAAGTGGGGAACTGACATCCCCACCACCACCTCCCCCTTTATAAGGGAGGTGGGGTGGTGGTGGTTCTGCCAGTCTCAGGTGGGGAACAGAGTGGGGGTGGGAGGTGGGATTACCTGCCCCGAGGCAAAGCCCAGATCGCGGCCTTTTTAGCCTGCGCCAGAAGATGGTTATAATCCTGATGCAGAAGCCTTCATAAGCGTAAGAAAACCATGTTTTCTGCTGGATTCGGCTGCGCAATAATATTACAGTGCCACTGTTGGTTCCCACCTCGGGCCAATGCCCCGTCCGCACCACTTCCGCAGCACTGAAGCCCCAAGCCCGCACGCGCGTGGGCAATGGTAGCGCGGTGTTGCAGGCACCGGACGGCCGGTCGGTCGAGTTCCGCCGCTACCGGGAGATCCTCGTGCAGCTTGAGGCGGACATGGGCGGCGATCCTAGCGAGGCTCAGAGCCAGATTGCCCGCCGTGCTGCCATGCTGGCAATCTGGTGCGAGCAGCAGGACGCAGCGGCTGCACAGGGCACCACGATCGACATCGGGGAAATACACGACCGCCAGCAATACCCTGCGCAGGCTACTGGAGACGCTGGGTATTGAGCGCCGCGCCCGTAACATCACCCCCACCATTGCCGAGTATGCAGCCGTCGTGCGGCAGAGAAGGTGAGGCGGCATGATTACCTTCGCTGAGGCCTGCCGCGACCCTGAGCTATTCGGAGAATGGTTCAAGGCCGATACTTGGGCTGTCTGGCGCGTCATCGACAAAGCCCTGTTCGGTGAGCCCCTCGACGCTGACGGGTTGGCCATCTTCACCCAGATCACTGGCCGCGCTGAAGCCCCCACAGAGGCCGCTACAGAGGCGTGGTTCATCTGCGGGCGGCGTAGCGGGCAAGGACGTGAAGGCGAGCGCCCCAGCGGCTTGGCGGCGACGTTCGGGGCCGAGCAGATGGGCTTCCTATCCAAGCTGGTGAAGGGTGAGACCGGCGTGGTCCAGCTCATCGCGGTTGACCGACGCCGAGCCAAGGTCTGCCTGTCCTACCTGCGGGCCTATTTCGAGCAGCCTCTGTTGGCCCAGATGGTGGCGAAGTCGACCGCTGAAGGCGCCCAGAGTTGACCAACGGCCTCGGGATCGAATGCCACCAATGACGTCGGCACGGTACGCGGACGGACTGTCGTTGCCGCTGTGCTGGACAGGTTGCCTTTCTGGCGTTCAGACAGCAGCGCGAACCCGGATAAGGCTGTCTATGATGCGGTGAAGCCCGCCATGGTGACGATCCCCGGCGCGATGCTCATCGGGATCAACAGCCCCTACGCCCGTCGCGGCCTACTGTGGTCGAAGCATAAGGCCCATTACGGCAAGCCCGGCAAGACGCTTGTGGTGCAGGCGCCCACAGGTCATGAACCCCACGATCAGCGCGATGGCGAGTTCCTACCGACGCCTATCGAGATGACCCCGCGTCCGCCGCTGCCGAGTACGGAGCGCAGTTCCGCACCGATGTGGAGGCCTTTGTGTCGCGCTGGAGGTGGTGGAGGCTTGCGTGTCACACGGCGTGCATGAGCGCGGCCCTCGCTCCCGATGTCACCTATTCGGCCTTTGTCGACCCCTCAGGCGGCTCGCAGGACAGTATGACGCTCGCGATCAGCCATCACGAGGGGAGGGAGGGGGCGGCCTGACGGTCATTGATGCCACCCGCGAGGGTTGACCGCCGTTCTCGCCTGAGGGCGTCGTCGCCGATTTCTGCACGCTGCTGAAGCTGTACGGCGTGGGACAAGTCACCGGCGATCGTTACGCAGGCGAATGGCCGCGCGAACAGTTCCGGAAGCATGGCGTGTTCTATGAGGTATCGGATAAGACCCGATCCGACCTCTATCGCGACATACTTCCGGTTCTGAATAACAGCGGGCGCGTCGTCCTGCTGGATGACGAAAAAGGCGGTCAGCCAGATCGTCGGCCTAGAGCGTCGCACCGCGCGCGGCGGAAAAGAACAGCATCGATCACGCGCCGGGCGGGGAGTGTCAGAATTTCGTGCGGGCGGGCATAATGGGAAAGAAGGGCCCGAAATGTCCTGACGCAAAGAGCCTGCGATACCGAACGATCTGCTGGATCAGCTGCTGGCTGGCGCTGATGCTGGTACCCGCGCTGGCGCAGGGCGGCCTGCTGGATGCGCTGAAGAAGGCGCTGACGGAGCGCGCTTTGAACGCGGAGATGGATTATCATCTGGCCGGGACGACGGCACCGGCAACTCGCGCAACAGCTACGGCCGGAAGACGATCGACCGATACCGGCAAGCTGGCGATCGACGTACCACGTGACCGGCAGAGCAGTTTTCGACCCGCAGCTGATCGCCAAATACCAGCGGCGCTTTCCGGGCTTCGACGAGAAGATCGTGTCGATGTACGCGCGCGGCATGAGTACCCGCGAGATCACAGGACACCTGCACGATCTGTACGGCATCGACGTATCGCCGGACCTGATCTCGAGCGTGACCGACGCGGTGCTCGACGAGGTGGCGATCTGGCAGCAGCGGCCGCTCGACCCGGTCTACCCGCTCGTATTTTTCGACGCCTTGCGGGTGAAGATCCGTGACGAAGGCATGGTGCGCAACAAAGGCGATCCACATCGCGCTCGGCGTCCGCGCCGACGCGCCAAGGAGGTGCTGGGCCTGTGGCTGGAGCAGAACGGGGCCAAATTCTGGCTCAGGGTCATGAACGAGCTGAGGAACCGCGGCACCGAGGACATCCTGCTCGCCGTGGTCGATGGCCTGAAGGGCTTTCCAGGCGATCACGGCGTGTTCCCCGACGCCGTGGTTTGAACGTACATCGTCCATCTGCTGCGCAATTCCATGGACTGTGTCTGGAAGGACCGCAAGGGGCACGGCGACTGCGTTGAAGGAGATCTACCGCGCGCCCAGTGCCGGGGCGGCCGAGGGCCTGACTGCGTTCGAGGCGGGTCGCCAGGGGAACCCGCTATCCCGCCATTGCCCAGAGCTGGCGGCGCGCTGGGCAGGTCATCCCGTTCTTCGCCTTTCCCGACGAGGTTCGGCGGATCATCTACACCACCAACGCCATCGAGGCGCTGAACTCGAAACTGCGCCGGGCCGTCCGTGCGCGGCCATTTCCCCAGCGACGGAGGCCGCCACCAAGCTGCTCTACCTGATCTTGAACCGGTCGGAAAAAGTGGAGGATGCCACCACGTGAGTGGACCATGGCCAAGGCACAGTTCGCCGTCATCTTCGGCGAACGCTTCATCAGGGCCATGGCGGCGTAATGTTCAGCCGCCCGCCGCACACGAAATTCCTGACACTCCCGCCGGGCGGACACGACGACATCGCCAACGCCGTTGCTGGCGCGATCAGCCTCGCTTCTCCAGTCATCCGGATCGGGCGGCTGGGTCATGACCCGACACGACACTGCGCCCGTGGTGAGCGCCGCATCCAACGGGTTATTTGCCATGAACTTTTGCAGCAATTTCTCGCGACGCGAGCCGCGAAGGCAGGAAGCCTGTCGCCAATTCTGACGCACCGTCACCCGCGACGAGTTCAACACGGTGTTGCGGGCCGTCAACGCGCTGATCGAAGAAGTCGACCTTATCACCTCACCGGATAAGCTGAAGGCCGTCATGAATGAGGCTCTTACGGAGGCAGCGAAGAGCGCCGCGCCGACGGTCGACGCGAAGGGCGCGCGCCGATCGCGCCAGCCTCGCACCTACGGACGAGCCCACCGAATTGGCGTCGACCGTCGCCAGCCATCGCAATCGTGCGCACACCTCGCACCCAAAGGGAATGACCATGTATCAGGAGTTTATTCCGCAGGGTCGAACCGGACGCCGTCCCTACGTCGAAAATCGACCGCACTCAGATCCTCGACCGAAGGACTTCTGGCGTGATCCGATGACCTGCCGGACTGGCCCCGCGCTCACCGGCAACATGCGCTATGACGGCGCACGCGGGAAAGCTGGTGCCGAAGCCCGCCTGAATGCCATCGGCGTTCACCTCAATCGTGGCGAGGCGCGTTGCGCATGCCGACGCCTGATGAGCGGAGAAACGGTTTGCCGCCACGTTCCGCCGCACTGGGGCGCCGTGGCATGCGATGGGCATCGTCAGCCTGAGCCCGTTGGGCATGATGGTGGAGAACGATGCGCATCTGATGGCGGAAGCCTGCCACATTCGGGGTTATCTGCGGAAGCTGGAGATCGTCGAAGCGCGCGAGGCCGATGCGCTAAGGAGCGCAAGCTTGCCGAGGCGCGTCAAACGCTGGCGGAATATCGCCGCGACGTCCCTGACGAGATCGAGGAATATGAGCGGCTTGCCGAAGCCGCCGCGCGCCATAAGCAGCGGATTGAGGACGAGCGGGCGTTCGATCGTTCACGCGCCATCCGCGATCACGTCGCGACCCTCCACAGTGCGGCCGTCCGAGCCGCGCATACCCTGGCAGGCGTCCCCGACGCCCCGCCATTCTTTAACCGGAGAGGGACATGGCAAATTTCCGCTTATCGCCCGATGAATGGACCCCGATCATTCCGAGCGGCACCAATGCTGACAAAATGGTTGCGATCAATTTTGGGCGCGCGGAAGTTCGCTTTGTCCAGCCGGATATGCTGAGCAGGCTTCGTTCACGCTGGCCATTCCTCACGACTATCATTCCGAAGATCTTCCGCGCTGCGTCGTTCCCTCTCCAGTTGGCATGGAGGCGCGCGCGAAGGGTAATTTGCCATTGTTTCAACCCGAGTTGGTGAGCAACTGGATGAGAAGTGTCAACTAATTGAAGATCGGTGGACCCTGATCGTTCCGGCAGGCGAGAAACTGGATGCGGTCATTCGTCCGGTGTCTGGCGCCTTCCGCACCAGCCTCCTGTACCCCGAACAACAATGGGATACGGTCCTCGCATCATGGGCGCCACCGACGACCATGCAAGGCAACCAATATTCCCGACATGAGGTGACGGCAGGTATGCCTGTCTACGCGCAGGCAGTTGGTGGCCCGGCTACGGCGTCGGTCGAAATGGTCGAAATGGTCGAACGGTAAGTTCAGCCAGTGGCGGCCGTCAAAAGATCGCTGGTCTGAAGTACCGCTCTCGGGCGCTTGAACCCTATGCGTCGGGCGGCTGGGGCTTGGGCTTGGCCGGAAACATCAGGTTGACCGGCGAAACAAGCCGGCAAAATCACTCGTCGGGGCCGCTATCGGTTCGTTGATCGTCGCGGCCGGGTCCTATGCGATTGCTCGCATCATGGGCGTCTCGCCAAGCCCCTGACGACCAAGAGGCGGAGCAAGGTCAACGTCCCATCCCCGAGCCGTCGAGCGCTGGCTAAACGCCTGGCTATATGCCCGCTCCGGTGGCGGTGCACTGTTCGGTGAGTTCGATGGGCAGGGCCGCTTCTGGTACATCATCGTCCGCGCGACGAGATTCTGCACGCGCCGTACAGCTATTTCCTCGACGACGAGCCGGTGACGATCGGCAGGGCGACGGCTATGTGACGCAGAAGGAGTTCCGGAACTTCAGGGCCCCTGCGACTGGCGAAGCAAACAATGACCCTGCGACTGCCGATGGCCAAGGCAAAGGGCATGTCCGCATCTGGACGACGACCTACAGCCCTACCGATCCTAAGCCACCCGGTATTGCCGAGCTATCAGCCGCCCTGCCCCAGTGGACGCAGTCTGAGCATATCTGCGGCAGGCGACCTATAAGCGTCGTGTGCATGGACGCTGGAGATTGAGCACCGTTTCAAGATCTATCGCTGGCGGGGCCCGTTCGGGCTTGGTGAACCGGCGATCAACGCCACTTGGGATGTGGTCAGCAGCCTATGACAGCCCGCGATACCAGCCAGACCGAGGCAACCGCTCGACCTATAAGCCGACGAGGAACGCGGGCCCTGCTATGGGCATGGTTCCGCACGCACCCGTTCGGGCGAAACAAGCCGGAGTCAGCATCAATTGGCAGAAGATCGCGGAGCAGGCTGATATCTGCGACCAGACCGTCACCGGCATCGGGCGATCAGCCGCGCTATGAGCGGCGCTATCCATCGTCGACAGCAAGCGGCGCGGAGATGCGGGGGAGCGTGAGATCCTTCTGGCGTGCGACGGCTTCATCGCCATTCTTTGACGAGCAGGGCCGGTCCTATATCGAACAGGATGTAGGTCACTGGAAGGCCCCCACGGTATCGCTGTCCGCAACCGCGACATCATGGGTATGGAGAGCAGGGAGGCTCAGGACGGGAGAGCCAGACTCACGGCGTCATCGTGCGCTACACCGAGCCGTCAGCCAAATTACACCGTGCAGCCGTCCGCAGCCTTTGGCTCAACCCGCTGCATTATGATCCGCTTGTCACGCCCAAGTTCCTGACGGTCGACATTCAGGCGTGCCAGAATCACAACCGGGCGATGCGTCTGGCCAAGGGATAGGGCTGCGGTCGCAGCCGCGCACGATTAATGGCCCCACCGTCAGCCTGCGTGGCCTGAAATGCCGCCAAGAGCGGATCATCAAGCTCAATTACGACAACACTATTGCTGGCGACTTTGAGATCGCTACGCCGGTAGAACTGGACGGCAGCGGCATTGGCACGACCTTTGGCGCTGTCCCCATCACTCCCAGCCGATGGACGCTTCTGACTGGCGAAAGCAACCAAGCCGGTAGTTGATGGCTCAGGCGGCACGATCCGCTTCCCGGCGATCACGGGTGAGAATGTCTATCTTCAAGACGGCACGATCCGCATCGACTTCCCGTCAGCGCCTCGCGACGACGCGACCTATGTGGCGGAATATATCCTGACCTCCGACATCACGGGCGGGATAGCGATCCGTGGATGCCGATGACGATCAACCAGAACACCGCGATCAGCGGCCTGTTGCTGGAGGGCATGGATTACACGGTTCGCTATCGCTACGTGGTCACCTCCGGTCGCGGACCGGCTTATGAATATGCCACCGTCTCCACCGAAGCTGTCCTGCCGCCCTCCACCAACCTGACGGCGCAGGGTGACGTAGGCAAGGCGACGGTGACGTGGAAGAACCCGAACGATCTGCGGTTCTTCTCGACCGATGTGTATCGCGGGACGTCATCCGATTTTGCGGCTGCGACCAAGATCGTCGACAGCTATGCAGGCGGTGTTGGCAGGTCCAGTCGGTCACCGACACGGTAGCGGCGGGGACCTACAACTATTGGGTCGTGGCTACAGACGGCAACACGCTGGACGCAACTCCGACCGGTCCAGCAAGCGCGACCGTGACTTAGCGAGATAGCTGGCGGGGTCGGGAACCCCGTCATGCTAGGGGCCGGGAGGTACGTCCTCATCCCTCCCGGCCTCGTTTTCGTCTTCCCGCTTCCATTGCTCATCCAGCATCGCCATCGCTTCTTTGTCGACGTGCCGCGCGAATGACGTCGCTTTTTCATCACGGCGATCGGGATTACTTCTACTGCCAGCTTTCCAAAGCTCCTTCCGATCTGAATGGCAGGAATACGATACGGTCGGGCTTTCTCAGAAAGCCCACGCAAGCAGCATGGGCAATTGTATTGCGAGGTTTCGAATGCTCTTCGTAATGCTTCTTAAGCTTGCGCAGTTCGGAGGCGCTACTCGTCCTTCCTAACTGCAGGTTCAATTCTCGCATTTACGAAGGCGGTCTGGTACTGGCATGCGGCCAAAAATTACCGCACCAACAGTCGGATCCATGTTGAAAGCTGCCGTGGCAAGCTGGGCAATCGTTGTATCGACCCGAGCCCATGCCAGAACTAAGTCAAGCATCGCCATCTTAGCGTGCCTTGGAATGTAGCGTTCCATGTCAGCGATGGCGTCAGCTACATCGGCTACCTTTTGTGGCCCCAACAGCTTATCTATCCTTAAGCGCTGCATCGATAGTGTTTACGACCATCTGATACTTGCCAGTGATGGTTATGAAGTCGTCCTTCGCAAAGGTAATGATACAGCTATCGTCGTTTGCCATATAGGTCGACAGAGCGAATATGGGCCGGATTGATCGAGACAACGCGGCCATCGGTGCGGGTGAATTGAATCATCATATCAGCAGCGTAACCCGTTACCAGATGACGGGGAAGCCAGTCAGATATGCCGCTCAGAAAAAGCTATTTAGTCACGTGAGAGCGGATTGCGCTCTCACGCATGGCCTCAGAAGATGAAGGGCATCGGGGGGTCATCGATCACGATCACATCGGTAGGCGCAGTATTCTTACTGTGGCGCTTAAAACCCGCAAAACCTTCGCGTGATATTCTTCGCCATCCAGATCAATGGGAAGCTCATCGCCTACTGCGGGCTGGCTTGAGCCTGTCCAGTCTCCGACCTTATCGTCGCCAATCAAATTTCAGCCATTTGCCGACAATCCCTTTTCTACCAATCTGCGGATAGCTTCAGCCCGCGATGGTAGATCAGACTGCTGCCGACGCCATTCGTCAATGGTGGCAAGCCACTCCGGCGAGACACGCATCTGAAACGGTTTTGATTTATCGTCAGCCATGTACGCTGTGTAATTACATATGGTTGACCGTAGGCAATAGTGCATGTAATTACATGAGTACAGGCCGGTTGAGGCTCCACCCTCGCACCGGCCCTAACCGCTAACGATCGAGAGGGATCGCCATGGCTTACCTGCCCCTATCACTGTCCTTTTCGGTGACCAAGCCGAAGAGCAGCCCGAGCCTGTCTCAAATGTGTGCGCCTTCCCTGAGCGTGTCCGGCAGAAGGAGATGTCCGCCACGCCAAACGCGTTCTGGCTGAATGGGAAGATCATCTCGAAAACTGCGACCCCGGCGCGGAAAGCCACCGCGAACGGCTGCGCGCCTTGGCTGCGCCGGACATGATCGTGGAATGGAACGACCAGTTGCGGAAGGCTGAGGCCAAACTGCTTTACTAACCGCAGGCGACGCAATGACGTATCGCGGCAAGCAATACCGCGCGACAATAGGCGCATCCGGCGCGAACTAATCAGCGAAATGGCGCGCTGGGCACATCAGCGCGCCACCCTGCTCACCACTAGCGCAAAGGAACTGCGCCATGGCTGCTAAGCCCTATGCCATTGACACGTTCGTGGCTCAACCACTCGCGCCGATCGCCGACAGCGAGGAGCAAGCTGACACCAAAAGCATACCGTAAGCAGATCAAGAGCGACATGGAGCGCGCTTGGAATTTCGGCATGGAGCGAATCCGGGTTGCCGAGGCGTTGCAGGTGGTCGCCGGGAAGCATTCCGCCTAAGCGGAGAGCGTTACGTTTCTGACCCACCCCACGAGCTGTGGCAGTTAATAAAAGGCATTCCAAGCGCGATTGGCGCTTGAGCGGAAGCAGTGCCTGATACCCGCGCCAACCGCCGTTCAAATGCGCTGGAAAAAGCGCAACGTCGATGCGAGGCACCAGACTGATGAAATCAAGGCCGCGATTGCCCGCGATGAAGCTCGGTTCGCATGAGTCTTCCTGACGGCCTTATGCGTGGAGGTATGTAAATGCCAAAAAGACCGTCGTGGAGACAGCCTCCTGCGAATGTTCGAGGTCAAGCAGCGGACTGGGCTGTCTGCCACGTCGGTCTATCGAAAGATCGCGGAGGGGACGTTCCCACCACAGGTTCGGTTCGGCCCGAAGATGGTGGCTTGGTATCAGTCCGACATCGAGACATTCATCTCCGCCCGATGGGTATCGGGCGAAAGCGCCTCAACGGAAGGGTGCACAAGTGTGGGGCCAGCAACCGGAGATTGCTAAAATGTCTAATGATCTCCGGGGTTTTACATCGCCGATCGCTCCGTATTCTGGGTCATCGTGGCGAACGCTGCACTTTCGACATCATGGTCGAGGCGTTCGGGCTGGCCGATCACGCGCCCCTAACACGCCTCGGCGCCATCGTGCGCGGTGCCGATACCGACCGGCTGGATACCGCGCCGGAGGCCGCCGGCCTACTCGCCATATCGCTGGGCCTGTCGCGCATTCACGGCGACGACCATGCCCAACTCGATGCTGGCATGATCGTCTATGAAGCGCTCTATCGCTGGGCGCGCGCGACGCGCACGCCGAAGGGCACGACTGGTCGTCGCATCAGCCCTCCCACGCACGGATGTCGGCGTGAGCATGGTTGTCGCAGACGGCGCGACGCCATCGCGCCCCGAGCCGGTGACGCTCGGTCAGGCCTTCTGGGTCTGGCTGCGCATCGCCATGCTGTCGTTCGGCGGTCCGGCCGGGCAGATCGCGGTGATGCACCGCATCCTAGTCGACGAGAAGCGCTGGATCGGCGAGCAACGCTTCCTGCACGCGCTGAACTATTGCATGCTGCTGCCCGGCCCCGAGGCGCAGCAACTCGCCACCTATATCGGCGGGCTAATGCACCGAACCAAGGGTGGCATCGTTGCCGGCGTGTTGTTCGTGATCCCCGGCGCGGTTGCGATCATGGCCTTGAGCTGGGTCTATGTCCTCTATGGCGGCGTCGGCATTATCTCCGCGCTCTTCTTCGGCCTGAAGGCCGCGGTGCTGGCGGTTGTGCTCCGGGCGGTGGTTCGGATCGGCGGCCGCGCGCTTCGTACGACGACCCGGCCAAGGCGCTCGCCGCCATCGCCTTCGTGCTGATCTTCTTCGTCGATGCGCCTTTTCCATTGATCGTGCTGGGCGCAGGCCTGATCGGTTGGTGGTCCGCCGTGCGCGGCGGCACGGCGTTTCGTGGCGGAAGTCACGGTGCATCCAAGAGCGCGGTCGTTGCCGACGCCGACACGCTGCTTGGCGAGGAGCTGCCGGCCCATGCCCGACCGAGCGGGGCGGAAACGATCCGCACGGCCCTGATCTGGCTCGCGCTCTGGTTGCTGCCTGTCGCCGCCTTTGCTGATCGCGCTCGGCCCCTGACGACGTGTTCAGCCGCATTGCGACCTTCTTCTCGACGATGGTGATGGTGACGTTCGGCGGCGCGCCTATGCCGTGCTCGCCTATGTCGCGCAGCAGGCCGTCGAGACCTATGGCTGGTTGGGGCCGAAGGAAATGCTGGATGGCCTCGGCATGGCGGAGACGACGCCGGGGCCGCTGATCATGGTCCTGCAATTCGTCGGCTTCTCGGGGTCTGTCGCGATGCCGCCGGATTGCCGCCGCTGGTGGCCGGAACGCTCGGCGGGCTGCTGGCGACGGGTGACGTTCGTGCCGTGCTTCCTGTGGATTTTCCTCGGCGCTCCCTTCATCGAGCAGTTGCGCGGCAATGCCGCCGTGGCCGGCGCACTCGGCGATCACCGCAGCCGTGGTCGGCGTGGTCCTCAACTTGGGCCGTCTGGTTCGCGATGCATACCCTGTTCCACCGGACGATAGCAGTTTTGGCGGGGCCGCTCCGCTTCCGAAGCGCCGGTGCCGAACAGCATCCATCCGGCGGCACTCGTCCTGTCGCTGGGCGCGGCCTATGCCATCTTCATGACCCGGGCCGGCGTCATCACGACTTTTGCTCGCCACCGCAGCGGCCGGGCTCGCGCTCCACGCTTTCGGTGCACTTCGGTGAGGTCGGCTGGTTGATCCAGATGATGGTGATCCGGACTGATCAGGATTAGCCTCGGTCCCAAGACCAGAAGCGGAAAGCCGCATCGACCGGAAAGTGGGGGCTATGATCGAAGAGAATATCCTGCTCGGATGATGTCGGGCGGCGGCATGGTGTCATTGCGCGCTACGCCGCCAGCGCATTGATCGTCTCGCTCACCGCCCTACTGCGCTATTCGCTCGAAGGAGCGCTCCACAATTCCCCATCCTGCTCTTCTACCCCGCCGTCTTCCTTTGCGCGCTGGTATTCGATCGTGGCTCAGGGTTTTTCGCGACGATTTTGAGCGCTTTCCTCGCCGCCTATCTGTTCATCGAGCCGCGTTTCTCGCTGCGGATCGGCGGCGAGAATGCGATCGCGGTCGGCATCTTTCGTCCTCATCGGCTTCACCATGTCGGCGACGACGGAGATGCTGCGGCAGACGATCGCCAGACTGGATGAGAGCGAGCGGGCGAAGGCGCTGCTGTTGCAGGAACTGGCGCACCGGACGAAGAACGACCTTGCGATCATCATTCGTTCGGCAATCCAGTTTGCAGAGCCGCGCCTCCTCCCATCCGGAGGTGCGCGAGGCTCTGGACGCCGCCAATGCGCGCGTCTTGGTCGTCGCACGGGCGCAGGAACGGCTGCGCGGTGACGGCGATGGCGGGCGCGTCGACTGGCTGAGTATATCGCGACCTTGTGTCAGGGGGGCTGGGCGACCTGCTTCGTGATGTCCGACCGATCGCGGTGCGGGTGACGTGCGACGCGATCGACGTGCCCAGTTCGGTGGCGATCCATGTCGGCCTGATCGTCAACGAACTGGTGACCAACAGCCTCAAATATGCCTATCCCGGCGAGCGCGGCGGCGTCATCAACGTCACTGTCGCGTGCGCCGGACCTGAGATGACCGTCATCGTGAAGGACGACGGTGTCGGATGCCCGGACGGTGTCGAGCCCGGACTAGGCTCCAGCTCGTCCGGCTGCTCGCCAAGCAGCAGATGGGCGGAAGCGTGCGGCACGAGGTCGGTCGACAAGGGCTTTTGCACGCACGTCACCCTCAGCGAACCGGGTCTCTGATAGGGGAGGAAGAGGTGACGGACGCTTGGCACGCCTCGTCATCCGTTTCCCTGGACTTGGCATCGAGGCGGACCGGCGGTCGACCTCGATCATCGCGTATCCCATGGTCGGCACAACGCGAGGCGACAGCGCGGTCCATGCCTGTCGTCCGCTGATATAATCATCGGTGCGTTCGCAGCGCACGGGCCATGCCGCCCGCCTCAAGCCTATGGATCGCCGTCATGAAGGTCTGCCGCATCGCCCATACGGCTTTGGGCAGCCCGTCTCTACCGCCGCGCACAGGAAAATGCGCGGCGATC